CTGGCACGAAAGAGCAGGAAGTTCGAAGCATTTTCCTTTTTTTTTTGTCTTCTGTTTGTTTCCGCGAATGAGCGATCTCTGCGGGTGGGCGGCCCAGCTGGTCGGGTGGGCGGCGCGGAGCTGTGTGTTGTGTTGCCTGTGTGTTCTGCCGGTGCAATGGGAGTTTCAGTGGCAGATGTTGCAATGTTGAGATCAAAGGAGCAAGAGGGAAAAGTGGCATTGCCTTTGCCGTGCGCGCGTCAACGTGCATACGTAGATACACACACGCGGCATTTTGGTGTATGTTTGCTCACTTACACGTATGTGTGTTCGTATGAGGGTATGTATACACGTGCAGTGCATCTGTTTGGATACGTGAGCACACGCACGCACGCACACGCACGCGCACGCGCACGCGCACGCACACACACACACACACACACACACACACACACACACACACACACACACACACACACACACACACACACACACCACACACACACCACACACACACACACACACACACACACACACACACACGACACAGTATATGCCTATATGCTGTGTGCGTGAGAAAGAATGACTATTTACGCTCAGGTATTTTATGGGTGTATACCAGCAAGATAATTACAACAAACAATCAGGGAATACATACTAATGAATATCGTTTATTACCAGGAAATATATGCAGCGATTCCCCATATTTGGCCCGATTTTCGAGCGATCGCAGAGCCCGGTTTCTCGCTGCCGATGTGAGCGACAATTCGGAAATAACATGTGGTTGATCAGATTCACAAATCAAATTAATGAATGAGTTCCATGCTTTGTCTGATTTTTTTTTTTTTTTTTTTTTTTTTTTTTTTTTTTTTTTTGAATGGCCGGGTAATGATTAATGAATATTGTAATTTCGATTGTTCGGACGCCTCGTCGAGCTGGTCGAGTTGATGTTGACTGTAATTAACTTGTGTTTTATGATGGTTGTGCTGGAGGAGAGTGCTTCGACGGAGGCTTGTTCGGCGCTGGTTGAGGTTTGTTGTTGTTTATGGGTGGTTGGTGCAGGGCTTGATTTTTTTTTTTTTTTTTTTTTGGCGTGATTATTTACTAAAGTGATTTTTGAAAAGCGTATCTGGTGTCGGGAAGAAATCGTATGGACAGTTTTGATGTATTGGTAGATTGATAGGTAAACGATAGATGTATAACACTCTGAATGTATATCTATACATACACGCACACGCACACGCACGCACGCACACACGCACGCACACCACGCAACACACACACACACACACACACACACTCACACACACACACACACATTTTTTGTTCTATACTCATATACATAGTTCACGTCTCGGCGCCGAGCGAGAGGAGCAGGAAGGGGCGCAGCAGGGAGCTCACCAGCCCTAATTGCGGGCGCTTCGTTAAGCCGGCTAACTTGCCAATGCGGCCACGTGACCAGGCGGACCAAGTGGGGCAGATGCTCACACGCGGCCAGGAGGAAGCGCACGCGATTCGCACACCAACACGCACTAAGGCGCACGTTAAACCCGAGAGTCTGGGGCAGTTTAGGGCAGCGTCTTAGTGGCATTTTACAGCTGCAAAGACGCTGGAAATTCAGAACCAAAAATTCGGGATGGCAAGCGTTTCCCAAAGAGAGGAGATGGAAGGGATGCGGGAGAGGGAGTCGAAAGGGAGGGGGAGAAGGAGAAATGGAGAACCGATGAGGGAAGAACAGGAAGGGAAATCGATGAGATTATATGGTGGAGAAAAGTGCAAAATGAAAGGAATTTGAGGAAACGGAAATGTCGAGGTAGAAGTAAGGAAAATGAGAGAGAAGAGAGAAACATGAAGGAAAATGAAGAAATGGAGTGAATGATGGAATAAGAAAGGATAGAGAAGAGAGAAAAAGAAAGAAGAAAGAATAAAAGAAAAGTGAGTGATGGAATAATAAAAAAAAAGATAGAAAGAGAAATCAAGGAAGAAAGAAGAAAAGAAAAGTTAGTGATGGAATAATAAAAAAGGATAGAGAAGAGAGAATCAAGAAAGAAGAAAGAAGAAAAGAAAAGTGAGTGATGGAATAATAAAAAAAGGACAGAGAAGAGAGAATCAAGAAGGACGAAAGAATAAAAGGCAAGTGAGACGACAGACCAAGTTCCCCAAAAGGCCTCTCCCCAGATGCGAGAACTGCGTCGAAGGTGAAGAAAGAATTGAGAAGTTGGATTCGCCGCAGGAGCCTCCTCTTGCTCTTTCTTTTTCTTGCTTTTCTCTCCTTTCGTCGACCTCTTCTTGCGATTATTATTGTTGTTGTTGTCATAATAACAATAATTGTCTCTATTCTTTTTCTACATTAAGGCTTGTGTTGTGAGTTCAGTCGTAGATCACGAGAAGAAAGAAATAATAAAGAGAAAGAGAGAAGAATGGAGCCCCTCTTTCCTCTTTCTTTCTTTGCTTTTCTCTCTTTTCGTCGACCTCTTGCGATTATTATTGTTGTTGTTAGTCATAATAAACAATAATTGTC